TTACGTAAGTAACCCTCGTTCACTGAGTACAGGGAACGCAGATGTGTCGTCGGTGAGTTCCTTGACGAATTGGGATCAAAGAAGGTGAAGGGAACGCTGCGGAAGCCAGCCACCTAAGAAGGCCTGGAATACACATATGTACTAGCCCAGGGGGATAGTGAAACATATGGCAGTCCCTGAGGTAGTCCCAATCAAAGGGGAAATGGGAGTGTACACAACAGGGACGACAAGACGAGTCTGTCAAGGGGAAGACACGGCTGGACTGCACGTGGCATAATGGGTCACCAAAGAGACCACTGGACATAACACCCAGTCTACACAACCACTCCCTTAGCGGTAGTAGACCTGGCGCCTGGCGGTCTGCCACGTCAGGCACCGGAGGGGTGATGGAGAAACTCCCGAGGCTAACCGACGTAGGGCGCCAACGGAGCAGAAGACACACGTATCCGGCTGAGGCACGGAGTGGCGTAGCAAGCCGACACAACCTATTCCTTGCACCACTTGCCGTAGCGAGTACTCGGGAGGAAACAGGTTCCACACGTAGGCTATAGAATCTAGCGAACGTGTTCGGTGTCGCCCAGCCCGCAGTTCTACAGATGTCTGTCAGCGAGGCGCCTTGAGCCAAAGCCCTGGAGGCGGCAACACCTCTCGTGGAGTGAGCACGCAACCTGGGAGGACAAGGCTCACCCGTAGCATCATACGTTCGGGTGATAGCATCCACTAACCAGTGGGTTAACCTCTGCTTGGAAACAGCCTTACCCTTCTGCTGGCCTCTGTAAAAGACAAAGAGCTGGTCTGAGGTCCTAAAGCTTTGCGTTCTGTCAATGTAAACCCGCAGGGCGCGGACTGGACAGAGAAAAGCTAGGGCTGGGTCTGCCTCCTCCTGGGGCAGCACTTGCAGGTTCACTACCTGGTCCGCGAAGGGAGTGGTAGGAACCTTGGGCACATATCCGGGGCGGGTCTCAATATTACACAAGAAAGGCCCGGCCCGAACTCTAGGCACAATTCGTCGACCGAAAAAGCCTGAAGATCCCCGACCCTCTTGAAAGAGGCCAATGCCAACAGGAGTGCTGTCTTAATGGACAGGATATTCAGCTCTACTGTCAGCAAAGGCTCAAAGGGAGGACTTTGGAGAGCTCTCAGTACCAGAGCTAGGTCCCAAGAGGGTACAGAGTGCGAAGCACGAGGCGGATTTAACCTCCTAGCACCCATGAGGAATCTGATGACCAGGTCGTGCTTCCCCACGGACTACCTTCTACTACATCATGATGCGCAGCTATTGCTGCAACATACACCTTGAGGGTGGAGGGGGACAGCCTACGCTCCAACCCATCTTGTAGGAAAGAAAGCACGACTCTGATCGGGCAAGTTCGGGGGTCCTCCTGGCGGGAGGAACACCACTCGACGAACAGGTTCCACTTCAAAGCGTAGAGGCGCCTCGTAGAGGTAGCTCTAGCAGAAGTGATTGTGTTTACCACAGCCTGTGGTAGATCACCTAGAACCTCCGCGTCCCGTCCAGGGACCAGACATGGAGTTTCCAGAGGTCTGGACGCGGGTGCCATATAGTGCCCCATCTCTGAGAAAGAAGGTCCTTCCTCAGAGGAAATGCTCTGCCACGCCCTCGATTGTGAAGCCAGTGCTGGAACGGTGTCATATGTAACAGGCCGAGTGGTGTTACTGTGGCTGCGGCTGCCATATGCCCCAGGAGCCTCTGAAATAGTTTCAGTGGAACCGCTGTCCTGCCTCAAAAGGCTGAGGCAGGTGAGCACTGACTGGATGCGTTCCTCTGTGAGGCGCGCCATCTGGGCAACCGAGACCAACTCCATACCGAGATAAGAGATCCTCTGCACGGGGCAAAGTTTGATCTTGTCCCAGTTGACCTGAAGCCCCAACCGGCTGAGGTGCTGTAGCACCATGTCCCTGTGATCGCAAAACACCTCTCGCGAATGAGCCAGAATGAGCCAATCGTCGAGATGGTTGAGGATGCGCATGCCTTGTTCTCTCATGGGAACAATGGCCGACTCAGCGACTTTCGTGAAGAATTGCATAGCCGAACCGAATGGTGCGGATGAGCCACCGGGACGGACCCGGAAGCGCTAGCCAGGCTTCCAGGTACTGACCCAACGAGCTCACCCAAACCACCGGCGTACCCGCGGAGGGGCAGCGAGATGGAAGGCAGGGACGCGGCTCCAGTGCTACATTGCCTGCCACTGGAAGCGGGGTCTGGGCGTGAAGTTCACCAGGAACCTGCTTTCACTGGGGGGGGAGATGGCAGAGAGAGCCCGTGGGCTTTCTGCTGCGGGCCGCCCCATGGCGAGGGGAGGGGAAGAGACGCAGCACGAGGCCCTGCCTCTTCGTGAACTGGTCTCCGCCCCACCAGATCCAGTCGCTGACCGGAGCGACGCAACCGAGGAAGAGTCGCTGCTATCTGCAGACTGGGAAGAGGGGAACGAGAGCGATGCTGCTCGGAGACAGCATCCACTGCCGTTCGGACCCTCTTGGGTGGAGGAGACTGGTCGCCCGTCTCAGGAACGCTTCCCTCCCCTCCTTTTACGGGAGGGGGCCGGGGGCGCCTGAGCGGGCTGGGCCGCCCTCTTGCGACCAGACTTCCTCGCTCCAGGGTTGGTGGTCTGGTCTTGGAGGAGGAGCTGGCGCAGAGGAGCGACGGGAAGCAGCCAGGGCTTGTACAGCCACAGGAGTAGGACTCTCAGCAGTCCGCCTCCTGTGCAGGACATGCCGTATAGCCTCCGACTGCTTCTGGGCAGTGGAGAACTCCTGGGCCAAGTTCTCCACCGCATCGCCGAAGAGGCCGCCCTGGGATACGGGGAAGTTGAGAAGTTTGTTCTTCTCCGCTTCCCTCATATCTGCCAGGGTCACCCAAAGATGGCGCTCCTGGACCACCAACGTGGACATCGCCCAACCCAGCGAACATGCGGTAACTTCCGTCGCTCGGAGAGCGAAGTCCGTCGCCACACGCAGCTCCTGCAGCAGAGCCGGTTCGGGACCCCCCGCCTGCACGCTATGAAGCGCCTTCACCTGGTGTACTTGGAAAAGCGCCATGGCATGCAGGGCGGAGGCGCCGTCCCCACACACACTGCAGGCATCCCTGGTCAGCCCAGAGGAAAACCTACAGGCGCAGGAGGGGAGCGAAGGGGCACCCCACCAGGAGGAGGCGGTCTTCGGACACAGCTGCATCGCGACAGACCACTCCACTGGTGGGATTCCCTTGTACCCATGCGCCGCCCGCTATCCAGGGTGGTGAGGAAGGAGTAGCGAGATTGCCTCCGTCTGAGCGCCAGAGCGCCGACCAAGACTTCCTCAACTCCTCATGCGTTTCGGAAAAGAAAGGGACTAGAGCAGGCCGTGGGGCAACCGCACGACCCGCTCCGCGAACCCAATCGTCCAGCCACGAAGGTTCGGGACCCGGTGGTGGGTTCCACGCAAGCCCGAAATTCGAGGCCGCCCGTTCGAGCATAGCAGCCATTTCCGGGTCAGGCTCCACCGACGCCACCACACCCGAAGGGGGCAGCGCAGCAGAGTCTTCGCCAGAAGACTGCTCTTCCTCAGATGCCGCGATCGACATCTGAGCCTCAGGTGGCGCACCGAAAGAGACAACCGGAACCGCCCGAGGGGGCTCCGTCCGCTCCACTGGAAGCGCCAATGGCAGCGTGCTGCTAGAGGCGTGAGGCGCCTGACAGGATCTTTCACCTGTCACATTTCTCACAGTAATCCTCATACGCTCACCAACATTCTGAGATGACTTGCGACTCGACTTAGACTTTGAAAACAATGACTCGCGACTTGGAAAGACTTGACCTACCTTCTAAAACCACAGATCAGAGTTGTAATAATCACTGACTGTAGTAGCACTGTATCATTGACGCATGATCACAGCGCTGATTAGCGCTGCTTTTGCACGTTTGGCACTGAGCCAGAGAGCGCGTGATCGAGTGCGTTCAGCAGCGCCAGCGCGTGTCAGTTGTCATTTATTATCACACGTTCAGACAGTTTTCAACCAAATAATGTTTTCTTTTTTTCTTTTTCAGGCATTTAAATACACAAGTACTAGCGAATCATTTATAATTTGAGAAAAAAACACTGATGTCTAAGTAAGCGGAAATAACCCTTTCAAATGTAATTGAGACATGTTATTTTTCCCCCACAACAAACGCACATTTATAGGTAACTATAAAGCCTTCTCCTTGTTCACCAGTCACTCACTTTCATGTCTTTCATGAGAAATGGATGGATTTACGTTACATTTTGTAAATGACAGGCACGTAGCCCCAAAAAGTGTCACGTGATGCTTGATACGTCGCCATGGAAATAGGAATGTTCTAGTACAATTACTGTCGCGTTAACAAAAAAAATTAAACTTAATGTGTAGCAAATCACGATTAATTTTCCCAATGAACAGTTACTTTTATTTTTTTATTTTTAAATCTGCATTGCCACTCTTCAGATTCAACCAATCAGACAACCAACCAATCAACATCCACTAAGTTTGAATAAATACGATAATATTATATATTATTATATTATATCATATTTTAAAAGCTTTCCTGATATAAATTAGTATACATTTCATTTACTATAGTTATTAACACTGAGACAGCAATTGGTGCAAAAATCAATAATGACTTGTTTAAGACTTGAAGCTTAAACTCAACGACTTGCAACTTGACTTGGACTTGTCTGTCTTGACTCGGGACTTGACTTGGGACTTGACTGTCTTAACTCGGGACTTGACTTGGGACTTGAATGCAAAGACTCGAGATTTACTTGTGACTTGCAAAACAATGACTTGGTCTTACTTCTGGATGCTAATATATGCTACTGTTAGCAAATAGCTAGTTATAGTCTATACCAATTTAATTATGTCCCTAAAATAAATGAAATATTAATGGAAATCTTAATGAATATAAAAAAAACCTGAATCATGTCAGGAAGCCTTTAAAAATACACGTTGAGACTACTTAAATTGGGTCGGTTAAAATTACTTAATTTCATGATGTTGAAGTTATATGAACAAATTATGTTTTTTTAACATAATCCAGTTAAGTGGAACCCGTTGACGAAATAAAATTAATTAAAGCCAACATATTATTTTTTGAGTGAATGTAATCTATTATTGTGATAAATTCTTCCTTTTAAGCCAAGAAAACTGAATGTGTTTATAAAATTCTCTAAAAAAAAAAAAAAAAGATTGCCGCTTTTACTTTTTTTCACATGAGTTGCATTTTCGCAAAAATGCAAATGTGCAATTTTTGCGAACATACAGAGTATTTCATAGAGTCGGCATGTAGAAGTACATCATGAGTAAAGAAGCCATCACACTCAGGGAACTGGAACTCAGGAAACTTGAAGATGATTCTTTAGAATCTTTAGACATGCTTTAGATGGAAAGAGAAAATTCAAGTCAGTAGGTTTATTTTAGTTATGCTCTGGTAATTAGAAATTAATATTTCAACATGAGTTTTATTCAAACAAATAAATCTTAAAGGATTAGTTCAATTCGGAATAAAAATTTCCTGATAATTTCCTTACCCCCATGTCATCCAAGATGTTCATGTCTTTCTTTCTTCAGTCAAAAAGAAACATCTCGGTTACGTATGTAACCCTCGTTCCCTGAGTAGGGAACGGAGATGTTACGTCGGATGATGGAGAATGGGGGTTTCACCTAGAAAGCCAATCCTCTTCAAGTATTAAAAAACGAGCCAATGGCAAGGAAATGCCATGGGTCTGCGGAATTTGCATAGCGTATCCCCGCCTCACCTCGTGAGTATAAAAGGAGGAAGCAGACACAACCGCAGTATGTCTTCGCCGAGGAGCCGAGACTGAACTCAGGCATCTACCCAGCGGTACAGCGGAAGTGGCAGAGAGACGTAACGTCTCAGTTCCCTACTCAGGGAACGAGGGTTACATACGTAACCTAGACGTTCCCTTTCGTAGTCACTCCGAGTTACGTTGGATGACATTTTAAATTTTCTTCTTTAATGATGATTTTTATCAAACTTGTATATTTAAGTTCAGTAATTTCACTTAAATAACAATTAATAGGTAATCATCATTGCCATTTAAGTGAAATCACTGAACTTAAATATACAAGCTTGATAAAAATTATCATTCTAGAAGAAAATTTCAAATGGCACTTAGAGGCTTTTGCATCTGAACTCTTCATATGGAGAAATACTGGAGTCACCAACCAAAGGGTGACTAAAAATTAACTCCAGGGGTGGCAAGGTGGCTTGCCGAGGGAAGACACATGCTCAGAGAGGCTTACAGTGGAAAATACATGGAGGACCTAGCCGACATCCAGGCAACAGACCCTGGCGCCAGCATCAACAGTGCTGGAGGACTCAGGGCTTCAATAGAAGGCTCAGCTGAGGAATAATCGCACTTATCCAGTCTGTGGAGTGGAATGGTGAGCAAGCGAAGACACCTGAGCGGGTCCAGTACTGGCCGGATGAGCGAGCACAAGAGAGGACACAGGCTCCACTCGGAGATTGTAGAATCTGGCGAATGTGTTAGGTGTCGCCCAGCCTGCAGCTCTGCAGATGTCTGCCAGCGAGGCGCCATGCGCTAGAGCCCAAGAGGAAGCCACACTCCGGTGGAGTGCGCTGTCACACCAAGGGGGCACGGTCGACCTTGCTGTTGGTAAGCCAAAGCAATGGCGTCCACTATCCAGTGAGACAATCTATGCTTTGAGAGAGCCCTTCCCTTCTGGCTCCCACCATAACAGACAAGAGCTGGTCTGAGGTCCTGAAACACTGCGTTCTGTCTACGTAAGCACGGAGGGCGTGTACTGGACAGATCAGTGCCAAAGCTGGGTCTGCCTGGTCCCGGAAGGGAGTGTTCACCACCTGGTCCCGGAAGGGAGTGGTAGGAACCTTGGGCACATATCCAGTCCAGGGTCTCAGGAACACGTGAGAGTAGGCCGGCCTGAATTCCAGGCACGCTTCATGAACGGAAATGCGTGCAGGTCACCCACCCTCTTGATGGAGACCAGTGCAACCAGGAGCACTGTCTTGATAGACAGGAATTTAAACTCAACTGCTTGCAGAGGCTCGAAGGGAGGTCTCTGCAGGGCACTTAAAACCACTGAGAGGTACCAAGAGGGTACGAGAGGAGGATGCGGAGGTAAGAGAGAGAGAGTCTCCTCGCTCCTCTCAGGAAGCTGATGATCAGGTAATGCTTCCCTAAGGACTTACCTTCAACTACTTCGTGATATGCGGCAATAGCGGCCACATACACCTTCAGGGTGGAAGGAGACAGCCTTCGCTCCAACCCGTCTTGCAGGAAGGAAAGTACGACACTGATCGAGCATCTCCGGGGGTCTTCTCGGCGAGAAGAGCACCAGTTGCTGAAGAGGTTCCACTTCAACGCATAGACGTGCCTCGTGGACGACGCTCTAGTGGAAATGATGGTAGCCCCCACCGCAGGTGGCAGGGTACTCAACCTGCCTCGTCCCATCCAGGAGCCACATGTGGAGTCTCCAGAGATCGGGACGAGGGTGCCGTAGGGTGCCCTGTCTCTGAGAAAGGAGGTCCTTCCTCAGAGGAATTGGGCAAGGAGGTGCTGTCGCGAGGAGTATCAGTTCGGAGAACCAGGTCTTGGTGGCCAATATGGAGTGACCAAAATGTCCTGCTCCTCATCCTCCTTGATCTTGCACAGAATCCGTGCGAGGAGGCTCACTGGGGGAAACGCATACTTGCGTAGGCCCCACGGCCAGCTGTGTACCAAGGTGTCTGTGCCGAGCATAACCTCGGTCAGAGAGTAATACAGGGCGCAATGGGATGAGTCGTGGGAGGCGAACAGATCTATCTGTGCATCCCCGAACTGGTCCCATATCAACTGGACCGACTGGGGATGGAGTCGCCATTTGCCAGAGATTGGACGGATCCGTGACAGCTCGTCGGCTGCCAGGTTCCGCTCTCCTGGAATGTAAATAGCACGAAGGACCTCAGGTACTTCTGACTCCATAGGAGGAGGTGGCGTGCGAGTTGCGACATCCGGCGCGAGCGTAGAACACCCTGCGGTATTGTCTGAACGGACTAGTACGTGTTGACCCCCGAGCCATGCACGGTGCAGGGCAAGGCGTACTGACAGCAACTCGAGGCAATCGACATGCATAAGGCGCTGGGGTCCTGTCCAGGAAACCACGGCTGCATGTCCATTGCACATGGCACCCCAACCCATGGCAGAGGCATCTGTGGAGACAACAACATGCCTGGAAACTCGCTGTAGGGGAACTCCGGCCCTGTAAGAAGCTGAGGTTCGTCCACGGGATGAAGGTCTGACAGCAGGTCGGAGTTACTGGAACTCTGAGCGTGCTGCAGTGCCATGGCCACCTCGGGACTCGATCGCGAAGCCAAAGCTGAAGGGGTCTCACATGAAGCAATCCGCTGTGGATGCCATATGCCCCAGGAGCCTCTGAAAAAGTTTCAGTGGAACCACACTCTTGCCCTCGAACTGTCAAAGACAAGTCAGCAGTGAGTGTGCGCGCTCGCTCATAAGCTGTGCGGACATGGTGACCGAGTCCATCTCCATACCGAGAAAAAAGATCCTCTGCACGAGGCAAAGTTTGCTCTTCTCCCAGTTGACCCGAAGGCTCAGACGGGCTAGGTGCCGGAGCACAAGGTCTCTGTGTTCGCAGACCTGATCTGGAGAGTGTACTAAGATCAGCCAATCGTCGAGATAGTTCAGAACGCGAACCCCGTGTTCATGAAGGGGAACGAGGGCTGCCTCGATGACCATCACAAAGATGCGAGGAGACAGAGCCAACCCGAATGGGAGATCCGCGTACTGATATGCCTGTCCCTCGAAAGCAAACCGAGAAACGGTCTGTGTCGAGGTTAAATGGAGACATGAAAGTACGCCTCCTTCAGGTCTATCGCTGCAAACCAATCCTGGGGCCGAACACGTTCGAAAATGCGTTTGGCCGTGAGCATCTTGAACGGCAGTCGGTGAAGAGTGCAGTTCAAAACGCATAGATCGAGGATCAGTCGTAACCCACCGGTCTTCTTGGGGACAATGAAGTAGGGGCTGTAGAACCCTGACCTCATCTCGGCTGGAGGGACAGTCTCGATTGCACCCTTCTCCAGCAGGGTGGCAACCTCCGCTCTCATGATCGGGGCATTGCCACCGACCATCGTAAAGCGGACTCCCCAGAAACGGGGAGGAGACCGTGCGAACTGGATCGCATAGCCGAGCCTGATAGTTCGTTTGACCCACTAGTGGAAACATCCGAGCCACAGGCGTCCCCCCGGAGGGGCAGCGGGGCGGAGAGACCAGCACAGGTGAGGGTGGCATAGCAACCCTGCACGAGTGCACGATCAGCTTCCGCGCCCCGACAGAGGAGACCAGGGAAGGTCCAGCGTTCCACGGGGGTCTGCTCTGCCAGGGGTCTGGCGATAGAGGGGGATGAGAGTGGCGTGGTCCGGAGACGACACGCATTGCCATCCGCGCCTCAGAGACAGAGGAGGACGAGAGTGGTGAGGCACGGGGGCGTTGCACACAGCCATCCTGCTCTGTGTGCTCAGAGATGGAATGCAGCTCTTTGAAGAAAAGATTCTCCCCCAGCCCTCCACCGGGGGAAGGAGTGGGCCTGTGACCACTCCCTGAAAGAACTGCAAGCCATATCTGAGCTGCCCGAAACGGGAGTGCCGCAGCGGGGCTGGTATGGGCAGGGGCGCCTCCCTGCGACCACCTCCACGGCACGGCCCGCCGCTGCTGGGGCCGGACGGGAGGGGGCGGAAGTCGCAGGAGGGCGCATTCGGTGGCAAGTGGACTGAGGCGTCTGAGCCGGCGGCCAGCAGAAAGCCGCAGGGTCAGACAAAAGCCACAGTCCACTTCTGGGCGGCCAAGAACTGTTGGGCAGAAATCTCTACCGCGCTGCCGAAAAGGCCAGCCTGGGATATGGGGCAGTTGAGGAAAATGGTTCCCTCAGCCTTGCGCACATCAACCAGGTTAAGCCAGAAATGTCTGACCATGCCTGTGGACATCACCTGACTCAAGGAGCATGCGGTCACCTTCGCGCTCGTAGAGCAAAGTCGGTGATGGCAGGCAGCTCAAGGATGAGCCCTGAATCAGCCCTAGCCTCGTGCATGTCACTGCACACCCAAAGGTTGGCAATAACACACAATGAGGTGGCAGCCTGCCCCGCAGCTCTATAGGTCCCCGCCACTGGAGTAGACAAGAACCTACGGCATTGTTTAGGGTTGCCACGCCGGGTGGAGGCGCTCTGGGGACACGTAAGTGTTGCCACAGAACACTCCACAGGGGGGAACCCCAGTGTACTCTAGACTGCGGCCTCTACAAGGGCAGAGAAGGCGGAAGAGGCCGCTGAGCAGTCGTGAAAGTCAAAGGAGACTTCCACAATCTCATGGCCTCTTCATGCACATCTGGGTAGAAAGGATTTGGGTTCGCCACCCCCAAAAACCAATCATCAGCCTAAAGTGCTCTGGAAATGGCAGAATTTTCCACACAAACCCAACACTCTGTTCAGCCCGGGAAGCATAGCTGTGAACTCTGAATCTAACTCACTATGCTAGCACATCCGAGGACAGCAGCACAGACGAGCCAACTCCAGAGAACTCCAGCTCACCTTGTGATGTGGCGATAAACATGATTTCATCAACTGGGGGACCAAATGAGAACGCGGGCCCTTTTATTTAATTTTTTTTTTCGGCAGCCGCAAACTCACTCGGGACCACGTGGGTTGCAACGTGAAAGACGGGTGTGGACCAAGGAATTTTCGTCGGTTTAGTTCCAGACCTGACATCTTAGATCACTCTGGCCACCAGTCGAAGTATTATCTCACGTGGAGAAAATAGTTCAGGTTGTGGATAAGGGGAGTCAATGAGCTCACTCCATTGAGCTCATTGAGTCTCGACCGTTATACATTGCGAAGGTCACGTTCCCACTGAGAGAAAGTGACACACCCACAAGTGCTGTCTGAACGTGATCAAAGCCGAAACACGTCAAACAGCGCTGGCGCCCATCAGCTGAATCTATCAAAATACCGCACTCAGAAATCGACGGGCAGATCGTCTTTAAAAAGACGCGTCTTTAAAAAGACGTGCCGCATGCACACTCTTTTAGTGAGAGGAGAAAACTCCGCAGATGTTTAAGCGACCAGGGAGAGACACACACACACTGGCAGACCACTGCTCAGATCACAGGCAATGTGAAACTCGCTGGATACCACCATCACACCAACACCAGAGAGTTCGCTCGTCTCGAAGAGGTGAGTCATCCGACGTAACTCGGAGTGACTACGAAAGGGAACTAAGGTTTTTGAGGAAAACATTCCAGGATTTTTCTCCATATTGTGGACTTTAATGTGGTACAACTGTTTGAAGGTCCAAATTGCAGTTTCAATGCACCTTCAAAGGGCTCTACACGATCCCAGCCGAGGAAGGTTCTTATCTAGCGGTCAATCGGTCATTTAAAAAAAAATTTCTATACTTTTTAACCACAAATGCTCATCCTGCTCATCCACGCATTACGTAATAACGTTGAAAGGTCACTGCTGACATAGGCAGAAGTATGGACCTAGTGTTTACAATGCAAACGTGCATAGACTAAGTCAAATGCCATTTGAACCATTCCACCGAAAGGACCTTTCTTTTCCCAGGACATTATGTTTAAAATTGCATGAAAATTAACTCTAAAATACATTTTATTATTAAGCAAAATGTCATGCACATTAAGCTAACTACAAATTTAAAACGCATAATTAAAAACATTAATAAAAACGACACAGAACACCAGGTTTTCACTCAGTCCTGTTAGACTATTACATCCCCCCTCTAAAAAACGTGGAATATTCCACTAGACACATTTTCAACAGTAAGTTGCATCATCTGGATCTTCTGAAGGCAATGGGGTGACTATAAATCACTCCTCTCATTTTTATTTCTGTATATTTGATGAAATTGTAACTATGAATGAGAAGGGCAATCTCAACATACAGTCCTGTTACCTAAACTTTTTCTTAGATTTAATTTTTTTATTTTAAAAACATTAACTTTTGGTAAGGCACTTGAAATGGTTCAGTGTCCTCACGCTATTATCATCAATGCTATGTGGCCACATGCCATATATTTGAAAACTTTTTGCTTAAAATCTCCTGTTCCTGTTACTTTTAAATCCTGTTACTTTCAGTCCTGTTACTATTTTTTTTCTTATTCTAAAATTTTTTTTAATTAAAGCACTATTTTTATCAGTTTTGTTTGGCCCATAATTTATACAATTATTTAATGAATTAATTCTAAAAAAAAATTATAAGCTTAAGGCTTTGGTCATCTTTAAAATGAAAAAATGTCTGTGTTTTTTCTATCAAATTACACCTTGCTTTAATAGTGATTTTATTGGAACAAATATAAATGTTTTAAACATATAACCAACAATTTCTTTAAAATAAACAGTTTCTTGTGGGAAAAACAACGGAATTAATTGACATGCTTCTAAACTTGCTTTTTAAATGATACATGATTTTCGGTAACAGGGTTGAGAAAACATGCGTCCATATTCTGCTTAAACCTTGTAAAAAAAAATAAAATAAAGTTGCCCGAGATTGACCAATACACATTTTGAATAGTTAAATATGTGTAGTATTAGATTCGATGTTGAAAAAGATCAGAAATAAAGTTTGATTTTTAAGAGTTACAACAAGCAAATGTCATTTGCAAAAATAAATAATTAATTAATTAAATAATAAGGTAAAACGACGGTGTCGGTCAGACGATTTTGAAGTTTGGAGGAAAATGTTTCCCTTAAGACCCTAATTCCTTGGCTGGGATCGTGTAGAGCCCTTTAAAGCTGCATTGAAGAACAATCCTGGAATATTTTCTTTAATTTCTTAATTTCTTTTCAACTGAAGCAAGAAAGTTACGAACATCTTGGATGATGTGGACATGAGTAAATTATCAGGAAATTTGAATTCTAAAGTGAACTAATCCTTTAACTGCTCTCTCTCTCTCTCTCTCTCTCTCTCTCTTACCTGATAAGGCTACTGCAGTTGGAGGAGCTGTACATATGTGAATGCATTAAGCGGATCTCTATAAAATCGTCATCATTAGTACTAACAGTCTTGATATCCCCAACTGTGAAAACTTCAGTGGGTGATATTAGAAGTTCTATATCCTCTGATGTAGGCCTACACACTTCATCAAGGTTGATCACAGAACAGGAATTGATATTGAAAACAGTCCCAGTGGTTTCAAAAGTTGCTGTTTCTTCGGTTGCAGCACTATATTCCAGGTTCGCTGGAAAAAAACTCTCAAAACGTACTTTGTCCCCTGTGTTGAAGTTATATTTCTCCTCTGCAGCAGAGTACACTGTTTTACAATTGCTTTTCAAGAGTTGCATGGCATCTGTGAGCAGGAAGAAAAGAGATTTGAAAGGAAACATATCTTGGTAAGTTGAATTGACCCTGCTTTTGGTGTGAACCAACTTTTTAAATGTTTTATGAAATTCCGGATCAGCTTTAACATATCTCTCCAGGGCAGTCGTGTGCTCCGTTGTACCATTTGGAATGGCCTCACATGTTGTGCTACCTTTCCACATTTCCATAAAAGCTGTATTATTGTTAAGCTCTGTCTGCAGCAAACCTCCAGCTTTTGTGACCATATGCAGCATCTCTTTCCGACAACTGTAAAATGAGTAATCTGCAGCTTCAGGAAACATGCTCACGTGTATCAGCTCTTCAGTTATCTGCACAACAGTCTGAAAGCAAAAGAAGTTTGGAGAGAAATAAAATCAAAGTCTTATGCTTCATAAAGTTTGATGAGTTCTCCAAGTTAAACAGTTTAAAGTAATGAAGATATTTTCAATGGAGACCTTACAGTGTACAAGATCACCAGATGAAATGCAGGAAACCGCAAATGCCCCATTGTATCAGTTGGCTTATGTGCACAAGACTGGGGAGAGACAACATGAACAACAAGCTAAAAATAAAGTTGATAGATATATGCTTGCCAAATATATACATAAAATACAATTATTTTCAGCACAGATAGATCAAAAGCACAAACCCATAAAAGAAATACGAAATGAAAAATTAACAAGAAACACAAATTGTGATACAGTATCCTAAAAAAAATAGCTATATTTGCCATGGTACATTGATGTTGTCATAAACATCTACCTAAACCCAGTGGCTTATCAAAAAAACAAAGAGAAACTGAGAAAGGCAACACTTACTTATTTTTAAGGTTGGTTAAACGTGAGAAAGCTACAGGTCAGAACTGCAGGCTGTCCATAAACTGGGGAAAAAACATACACAGGAAAGCTTAACAGGGCTGTAGTCTGCCTTTTCCTTCCTGCTATTTAAATCACTATGATGATCAGCAATGAGCAAAGCCAGATAGCATGATAATGTAAGAAGAATCACAGAGTAGCTAATTAGAAAAAGGGTTGTGTGGTGGTATTTGTCTGTGCAACCGGGCCATGGAGAAACTGGTATTTTAAAACATGAGACATTTTTAATATGAGAGAAGCTGTCCTTCATTATATAATTGACCAACAAGTTTAATGTTATCATCAAACCAATTCTTATAAAAGAGAGATTTGTGCTTTAAAGTATCTTTATTATTCCACACTGTTAGACCTTACCAGGTTTTTTTACAGTAAAATACTGGCAACACTGTTGCCAGTTATTTACTGTAGAAATGCACTAAAACTCGAGTTAACTAAAAAAAAAAAAAAACTTATTAGCTTTAGTGCATTTTTACAGTGTTGCCAGTTATTTACTGTAAAAATGGACTAAAACTCGAGTTAACTAATTTCACTTGCAGAAACCAACTTAAAAGAATCAACTAAATTTATAATACATTAATAATGTGAGCAAGGTATTATTGTGAACTTATTTAATTAGAAACAACAAAAATGAACTTTTGTAAATGAAGACATTTCCACCGGATTCTGCAACTAACACAGACAGTGCCTTTTAAATAAAGCAACATGCAGCATATCATCAATGTTTGTATCTTCTCCTGGGCTGAAGCTCAGGCTCTACTCTTCAGCACAACGGTGACCCAAAAAACAAGATTTTACAGTAAACTGCTGGCAACAGTGTTGCCAGTATAAACCTGTTTTATAACTTACAGTTTATTACTGGTAAAATACATTTTGTGGGAGTGTATTTTTATCTTACACTGTTAACCCTTTCAACCCCACAGGAAAATCCACACTACAAAGAGTAAAAATTAACATTGATGCAGTGTTGCAGTGAGATAATTAAGGGAATATGTAAGTGATTGTTGAGCATTAGTGATGAACACCTGCTGTTAACATGCAGAATCACTGAAGGAAAGAGGAACATCAAGAACAGAAAATAGAGAAACACAAGAACTTCCAATGACTTCCAATGACTTCAGCCATTACACATTATTACACTTATTATTAACCAGTATGGCTTTATTTCTGTCATACATCTATAGAAGATGTTGTTGAGATGTTTAAAAATGTTTGGCTTGAAGTTACCATCATAGAGATCAGTGTTTGCTTTAGTTGGTCTGCTGATGCTGTAACACGAGATTTTCTTTAGACGTTGTGAGCTGTGTTTTGTGCAAGTCACACTTGTGCAGACATACAGTTTAGTGATGATTTGATTTGTCAAAATATGACAACCATCATATAGTCTGTTCATTTACTAAATAATTCATTTTCACTCATTCAGAGTTTCAATCTCAACCAAAAGTGTTACATTACCACCACCGCGAAACCACAGCAATTAATTACGACTATTTGTTTTTAACATATCATACATAAACCAAAACAGCGCTACAGTATTGTTGAAACACCAAGATATCAAAATTTAGCACATTAATCTCAGTAATGGTGGCAATTTCTTTTTTATTCATGCAGCAGTGCATGCTGGGAGTTTTATACAATCCTGGAACCCAGCATGCACTGCTGCGTGAAACTTTTGAATGTTACCGTTGTTGAGATGAATATTATAATTGTTGATGTCTGTGTGTGTCTGACTTTAGCAGGATATTATTTGAATGTTTTATGTGATTACAATAGTATTCAGAAGACATGATTAACCAACATATTGATTTCATGTTGTAGATTCTCAGATTTATTTTATAATCATAACTTAGAGTAAGTTTCATATTAAGTACCCATTTATTCTAAGAGTACAAACCAGAAAGATCTGAAAATCAGATCATCATCACAAAAGCCAATAACACCAGATCAATTTCCTCTTGACTTTTTCTTGCTACAACAAATGTGTTTTAAAACTCACTGTTACAGCAGTCAAAGAGAGATAAATGTAACAAGTCCAGGGATAAGAGACCTACTAAAGCAAATACTGATCTCCATTATGGTGACAAAAACTTTATTATTAATTAAATCTCTGTTAATTCTCAACAAGAACTTTTGTACATTTATGAAATAAATAATGTTAAACTGGTTTGTAAACTGTTTTCACACTCAGTGTTGCTGGAAGTCAGTTGTAGATCTTGTGTTTCTCTTTCTCAGTTCTTGTTTCTCTGTGCTTCAGTGATTCTGTTTATCAGGTGTTCATCAGTGTCTCAATTCACTCACTTCTTTTCATTCAAGTGGACTATATTAGTGAACTAATGTAGGGAATAGACAGTGAATGAGGGTATAGGGTGTGATTAGGAACACAGTCTCTGAGTGTTGACTTTGAGAGCTGTTAATTCACAGTATATTCCTGTAGGCTAGTTTTGTTTTCTACGGTATATAACTGTTTTAATGGAAAATGGTATGATAGTGTCAGAATTTGGCCTGTTGCCAGTATTTTACTGTAATAAACCTGGTAAGGTCTGTGAGAGTGAGAATGAATTTTTTTAATAAATGAACAGACAATATGATGATTAGCATATTTTGAAAAATCAAATCATTACTAAACTGTGTGTCTGCACAAGTGTGACTTGCTTAAAGGTGCCATCTGTAAAAATTGAGGTTAAAATATCCCAAAAATGAGCAACACGCATCAAAAGATTGAGAAGAAATAAGGTTGATGATGTCATTAAAAAACTGACAAGTTATAGTGCTGCCGAGATATTAACCTGAATTAGCATGCTAAATTACTAGCCCCGGCCCGGCAGGTGTCGTAATACCAGTTTCGACCATGGGAGGCGGTATGCGGGCGGGCAACGTTACCACCAGCCAAACTGCAGTACACGAGTAAGTCGCGCTCGCGCCAGCTTGTGTGTACTTGAACCTGACGTCAGTCGTGTGGAAAATACAGCCCACTACTACATTTCAGTTCAGGGAAGAGTTAAAAAAAATGATTGGTCGATATTATGCATGAGGAATACATTTTGGTAAGTTGTAGCATACTGTATCTTTCAACAGTGTTCGTGTTCTTTTACCATTAGCTACACTGTTAGACCTTACCAGGTTTTTTACAGTAAAATACTGGCAACAGGCCAAATTCTGACACTATCATACCATTTTTCATTAAAACAGTAATATACTGTAGGAAACAAAAGTAGCCTACAGGAATATACTGTGAATTAACAGTCGACTCTCAGAGACTGTGTTCATAATCACACCCTATACCCTCATTCACTATTCCCTACATTAGTTCACTAATATAGTCCACTTGAATGAAAAGAAGTGAGTGAATTGAGACACTGATGAACACCTGATAAGCAGAATCACTGAAGGACAGAGAAACAAGAACTGAAAAAGAGAAACACAAGATCTACAACAGACTTCCAGACACACAGAGTGTGAAAACAGTTTACAAACCAGTTTAACATTATTTATTTCATACATGTACAAAAGTTCTTGTTGAGAATTTAATTAATAATAAAGTTTTTGTCACCATAATGGAGATCAGTATTTGCTTTAGTAGGTCTCTTATCCCTGGACTTGTTACATTCATCTCTTTCTGGCTGCTGTAACAGTGAGTTTTAAAACACACTTGTTGTAGCAAGAAAAAGTCAAGAGGAAGTTGATCTGTGATCTGGTGTTATTGGCTTTTGCGATGATGTCATGATCATTCTGGATTTGTCTGATTTTCAGATCTTTCCTGTATATACTCTTTGAATATATGGGTATATAATATGAAACTTACATTAAGTTATGAGTATAAAATAAATCTGTGAATCTATGACATGAAATCAATATGTTGGTTAATCATATCTTCTGAATAATGTTCTAAGTATATAAAACAGAAAAATAATATCCTGCTTGAGTCAGACACACACAGACATCAACAATTATAATATTCATCTCAATAATGGTAACATTCAAAAGTTTCATGCAGCAGTGCATGCTGGGTTACAGGATAGTATAAAACTCCTAGCATGCACTGCTGTATGAATAAAAAAATATAGTGCCACCATCATTGAGATTAATGTGCTACATTTTGATATCTTTGTGGTTCTACAAGACTATGTAGCTCTTTTTTTGGTTTATGTATGATGTGTTAAAAAAAGAGTCATAATTTATGGCTGTGTTTTCACGGTGGTGGTAATGTAACACTTTTGGTTGAGGTTTAAACTCTGAACGAGTGAGAATGAATTTTTTTTTACTAAATGAACAGACAATATGATGATTTGCATATTTTGAAAAATCAAATCATTACTAAACTGTGTGTCTGCACAAGTGTGACTTGCACAAAACACAGTTCAAAAAGAAACTCTCATGTTACAGCATCAGCAGACCAACTAAAGCAAACACTGATCTCTATAATGGTAACTTCAAACCAAACATTTTCAATTAAACATCTCAACAACATCTTCTATAGATGTATGACAGAAATAAAGCCATACTGGTTAATAATAAGTGTAATAATGTGTAATGGCGGAAGTCAGTTGTAGTTCTTGTGTTTCTCTATTTTCTGTTCTTGTTGTTCCTCTTTCCTTCAGTGATTCTGCTTGTTAACAGCAGGTGTTCATGCTCAACAATCACTTACATATTCCCTTAATTATCTCACTGCAACACTGCATCAATGTTACTTTTACTCTTTGTAGTGTGGATTTTCCTGTGGGGTTGAAAGGGTTAACAGTGTAAGATAAAAAGACACTCCCGCAAAATGTATTTTACCAGTAATAAACTGTAAGTTATGAAACAGGTTTATACTGGCAACACTGTTGCCAGTAGTTTACTGTAAAATCTTGTTTTTTGGGTCACCGTTGTGCTGAAGAGTAGAGCCTGAGCTTCAGTCCAAGAGAAGATCTACAAACATTGATGATACGCTGCATGTTGCTTTTTTAAAAAGGCACTGTCTGTGTTATAGCAGAATCCGGTGGAAATCTCTTTATTCACAAAAGTAATATTTTGTGGTTTCTAATTAAATAAGTTCACAATAATACTTTGCTCACATTATTAATGCACTATAAATTTAGTTGATTCTTTTAAGTCAGTTTCTGCAAGTGAAGTTAGTTAACTCGAGTTTTAGTCCATTTTTACAGTAAATAACTGACAGTAAATTAGTTTTAGTGCATTTTTACGGTAAGTAACTGTTATTTACTGTAAAAAAAATTTACGGTAAGTAACTGTTATTTACAGTTATTTACTGTAAAAAAATGCACTAAAACTAATAAGTTGTATTTTTTATTTAACTTGAGTTTTAGTGCATTTCTACAGTAAATAACTGGCAACAGTGTTACCAGTATTTTACTGTAAAAAAACCTGGTAAGGTCCAACAGTGTACATAGCACGCGGCGCGTGCACAGCAGAGATATGGGAAGCCAAACAAACCAAAAGTGGGACGAGACAGCAGGGCTTTACAGAGCTCGTGCCGCACTGACATGTCATCTGCGCAGTTCAATGGTCCGAGCCGCACGGCCGCTATTTCCAAGTGACACTCAATGGTCAGCGCGGCGCGAACATCCTCACCAGCGCTGCACTGACCAATTTAAACAGCGCAGCGCAAACCATACAGACATGCAAATAAATGTACAATAAACAATAAAGAAACCCCTCCTTCCTTACAAATGTAACCGGAATGAGTAGACTATCCCTTTAAATGGGCAGATGACGTAATGAGTAGGCTGCTTAAAGTCTCGCGGGCGGTAAGGAAAGGGGTTTGTCTGGCCCTCGTTCTACGCTCAAGGAGCGAGTTGTGTTTCTTCCATTGATAAAGGTCTTTCCTGCACCAACGATTGTTCTGAGAACATGGTAGGTGTGTTATGTCTATTGGGCTTTGGCCACGTACCTGATGTGAGTGAACAATTGAGGGTGTTTGTTTATTTTAAATTGTTAAACGTAATAAAATGTGTATCTTTTTAGGAGCATTAATACTTTGCTGAGTTGCTGATTGTGTTACAACAAGGTTGCTTTCATTGAGATTTAAGTGCATCATAATCACCCATTAAGTGAGCCGTACCGTACCGGCAACGTGAGTATTTCTATGATTGCTTTTAAATGTATAAGGGTGTACGCGTAGTAAACTAAAGGAGTTGTGATTTCAGGTCAAACCCTTACTTAGCTTTGACCACCTGATGTGAGTGAACGATTGAGTTTGGTTGTTTATCTTAAATAGTTAAATTTAATAAGATGTGTATTTTTAGGAGTATTAATACTTTGCTGAGTTGCCGGCTGCGTTTCAACACGTCTGCTTTCATTGAGACTTATTGTAATCCTCCATTAAGTGAGTCGTAGCGTATCAAGAACGTGAGTATTTTACATGATCGTTTTTTAAATGTATAATGTGTATGCTTAATTAACTAAATGGGTTTTGATTTCAGGTTAAACCCTTTCTTGGCAAGCGGCCGCCATTTCTTTTCCCTTATCAAATTTGGAATTTGATTACTTTATATTTTGTTGATTTGTTATAATTTAATTTTTGTTGTTTCAATTATTTTCAAAGGTTGTTTGTCTTATTTTGGAATTTGATTACTTTATATTTTGTTGATTTGTCATAATTAAACCTTCTTGTTTCAATTATTTCCAAAAGTTGCTTGTTTTATCTAGGAATTTAATTTAATTACTTTGTGTTTTGTTTATTTGTTATACTTTAAGTTTTGTGGTAGTTATGATTCCTTTCTGAAATCTGTTTAAGTTATCGCTTCATGGGAGGTCTTTTTGGGTTGTGTTTGATGTGTTATGGTTGATTTATTTTGATTTATGCCGTGGTTAATTTCCTCCCATGCGGTGTATTTCCCATTTTATTATTTCAGATTGATTTGTGCTACTTTAAGTGTTATTTCTGTTTCTTTTGTTCTTTCTTTAAATTATGATTGGTCAGATTCATTAATCTGAGGTGTAAATTATTGATTTATTTTCTTTAATTGTATTTTTGGTTGGTTTTGAACATTGTTTTCATTTTTTTTTAAGTTTCCTTTAAGTTTCTATTTTTTTCTCAGAGTGAAACTTGGGTGAGCGTTGAGTGAACTGTGGTAGTTTGTTCAATTTGCTTGGGTTTTTTATTTGATTGATTAACATTGTTGCCAACCAAGTATGCTGTTATAAGAGAAGGACGGTGTTTGTCATTTAATAAAGTAACTGAACATTTTGTACTCTGGCTTCTGGATCATTTAAATGAACCGCCTGTGTAGGAAAAGAAAAAAAGAAAAAAAAGAAAGAAAACTTTGTTAGGGTCCCCCATCCCAGACTTTGGGGGTGGCGTAGTCCGGTTGGGCGACAATTTTAAAAGCCAAAGGTTACACAAAGAATGGTTCTCTACTGAAGTTTCGGAGTTTTAAAAGGGGGGTTGATTGCGATTTAACTTTTTTCATTTTAAGTAGTGTGTAATGTTGCTGTTGGTGCATGAACAGTCTCTGTAAAGTTGCAGCGCTGAAAGTTCAGTGTAAGCAGAGATATCGTCTTTTAAAAATCAGGAAGTTTAATGCCTACAAAAACGACTGGATTGGGACTACAGCTGGATTTTAGATGTCACTACACATTTACATCAACCCTCCCTCAGGAAAATGCAAAAAAGGGAATGATCATATTTCTGCGGCTAGTTGAGTGTGTGTTCACCCAGCTGTCAGGTCTTCTGTGTTCGAGCTTCCCACGGTCGCTGTACTTCGTCAACAATGGATACAATTTATGTTTGATTATGTTCCTGAAAATGGTAATCATAATTTAGCTCTCTGTGCTGCACATTTTACGAGAGACAGCTTCCAGAATCTCCACGAATTCAATGCCGGATTCAACAAGAAACTTACTAAAACATGAAGCAGTTCCACTTCTACTTTAAAACACGAGGCAGCAGTTGTTGGGCCACAACCTGTAAGTAGGCTAAGACTTAATCATTTTAAATGTATTTGCATGTATAATTCCAGACGTAGCCTTGTGTTTTGTTTTTTTCAAATGCCAGCACTGGCTTTATAGCCACTAGGCTACTAGTTATGCTATTTTGTGTCCACGACAAATGCGTAAAAACATTATATGGACCTGAATTTTAATTTTTTTAATTTTTAAGTACTAATGCTTTAAACGTATTTTTCATGTATGCTTTATGACGTTATTTTCGATTTGATCAAGAACGTAAACTAATGCCACGCTGTTTGAGTATAACATTAGTAGCCAGTCAGATGCTACTGTGTTAAACAAACATGTATATGTAATGGTTATGAGAATGTACAGTCAGAAAAGTTCATTATATGTAATTCTGTATGTTAAAAAGAGGAAAATAAGCAATTTGCTTTAATTCAGATAAATATTTAAAAAAGGGTGAAGAACACATCATAATTCATGCCCATATGGAATATTGGTAAGATTAATAGCACTGTGATTTCCTGATTCAATGATCTATTAGCGATTACTTTGGTCTTCAATTTACTTTGGTCTTCAATTTGAGTCATAAGATGATGCATTAGCACAAAAACGTGCCAAAAATGATATTATTTAATGGTTACTCTATTTATTTTTGCACCTTGTTTTCATGTGGTTGCCATTCAAAGTTGTTTAAGAGTTAGCCTGTTGATCGGGAATCAGTTGATTATGCCTGATGTATCACACGGGAAGCGTGTTGTGCCCATAGACAGTAAAAGAAATGGACACAGCGACCCCGTTGATTTCAACGGAGAGAGTAATCTGAGTAATCTGGATGGTACACTCCAGCGCCTAAAAGAATATGGTTTAAGAGTGAGAAAACTTAAGACAAATGTGAGTTTTTCAAGCAGTCAGTTGAATATCTGGGTCATGTGATTGATGCTGATGGACTGCACAAGGCACCTTCAAAAGCAAGAGCCGTACTAGAGGCTCCAGCACCACAGAACACTAGTCAGCTCCGCTCATTTATAGACCTTCTAAATTACTATGGAAGATTCGTCAATAAATTGGCCACATTGTTGAAACCATTGCACCAACTTCTGTGTCGTAACCAGTCGTGGAAATGGACACAGCAGTGTGAGACCACTTTTCAAGAAGCTAAGAAAGCTCTGGTGAAGTCCGGTGTGCTAACCCATTTTAATCCAAAGCTTCCCCTGCAGTTAGCCTGTGATGCATCACTGTATGGGGTGGGAGCTGTGATTTCCCACATCATGCCTTCAGGAGAGGAAAGGCCAATAGCATTTGCCTCACGCACGCTGAACAAAGCAGAGAGCAAATATGCGCAAATTGAGCGAGAGGCTTTGGGAATCATTTTTGGTGTTCGGAAATTTCACCAGTATCTGTATGGCAGGCAGTTTATACTGCTAACTGATCACCGGCCTTTAACCACTATTCTTGGGCCACACACAGAAGGACACGTGCCTAAGGACACCATCAATTTGAAGCCGTACCTGTCTAGGAAGAATGAACTGTCATTTCATTCAGGATGTCTTCTCTGGGGACAAAGAGTCATCATTCCACCCTCGTTGAGAAAATCAGTCCTCCAGCAGCTCCATGTGGGCCATTGTGGTATTGTGCGAATGAAGGAAGTAGCTCGGAGTTATTTTTGGTGGCCTGGTCTGGAGGGGGACATTGAGGGAAAAGGAAAGTCATGTCCGTCCTGCCAGCAAGTGATAAATGACCCTCAATTGGCTCCATTACACCCTTGGGACTGGCCAGAAACTCCTTGGCAGCGTGTACATGTGGATTTTGCTGGTCCAGTCGAAGGGAAGATGTTGTTAATAGCGGTGGATGCCCATAGCAAGTGGCCTGAAGTTGTTGTTATGCACTCGACGACTGCCGAGAAAACAGTAGTGAAACTGGGAGAGATGTTTAGCCGTTTTGGCTACCCGGAACAGCTCGTCAGTGATAATGGGCCCCAGTTTACATTGCAAGAATTTGCTGTGTTTTTACAACGATGTGGGGTACAACACATTAAATCAGCTCCGTACCACCCAGCCACAAATGGTCTTGCAGAGAGGATGGTTCAAACCATCAAACACGCCTTAAAGACATCACAAAGACAAGGGAGCCTACAGCAGCGCCTGAATGAGTTCCTGTTGTCTTACCGAAATACCAGCCATGGGACAACAAAGGTTTCTCCAGCTTCTCTGATGTTGAAGCGTTCACTGCGCTCTGGATTTGTCTTACTGAGACCTTCTACTGTCAAAGAGGTGGTAGCGCGTCAGCAACAAAAGCAGTTTCATAGAAGAAACATGAAGGCTAAAAGCAGACTGTTCCATCCTGGACAAAATGTTCTGGCACGCAACTATACTTCAGGATCAAAGTGGGTACCAGCGACAGTGATCGCTCAAACCGGCCCAGTGTCATATACTGTACTAACATCTGATAAGCTTACCTGGAAAAGACACTTGGATCAGCTTTTGCTGGGATCTGCTACTGAGGTGGAGTCTGCTGTTGTCACACCTACTGTTTGTTCGGACTATCCAATGGTTCCAGAAGTGACTGTGGATACACCACTTACACCAGAAAAAGGACCTGCGCCACCCGAGACTGAAAACAGTCCGCAGAAGCAGAACTTGGAAAAACAACCAGACTCAGGATCCAACATATCTGTTTCGGAGTCCATGACAAATGCAGAACGCCGTTATCCCACTAGGGAAAGACGCCCACCTGAAAGACTTGACTTGTAGTGAATAAGAAAGAAAAAAAATGACATTCTGTTTTGGGGAGGGGAAGGAGTGTTATGTATAAAGCGTTGTCACTTTAAGACATAAGTGTTGAATGAAGTCATGTGATGATGACGTGGTGATGTGCGGCAAACCATAGACATATACACTAGACCTCACCTGGGGGTTCTAAGCATGCGTCAAAACCGCCGCCATCTTGGAACAGGGGTCTTGTCATAGGAAGTAGCTAGGTAACGCTGCTATCTCTGCATTTACTTCGAATTCATTGATGGTGGTGGACTTTTGTGCAGCGTATGAAGTTCACGGATGAAATCTGAACTAGGAAGAATGTTTTTAAAAAATAAAAAAAAATTAAAAAAAAATTTTTTCTTTCTGGAATCAATGATAAATACATGTCTGACCGTTGGAACAAACCAAAAAAACAAGAAAAATCGCATTCATGATGATTTATGGTGATTTTATTTGCGTTACACCTGTGTCTACTACATTGACACTGATGCATTAAAGTGGAGGGGCTCCCCTGTTTCAAGATGGCGGCTCTATTGACGCATTCGTTCTAATGAACTGCCGTATCCAAGGTGAGGTCTAGTCTAGTGTATATGTCTATGGCGGCAAACAAAGTGATATGAATGTGAGCATTAAAGACATGCAAGTGTTCCGTTCCTGAATTCATGTCTATGACTCTTCTTTATTGTCCTCTGTCTTTATAAAAAGGCAAAGACACGACAGAAACAACGTTGATCTGGCATTGTTTTGCTCATCGAATTAACGTTGAACCAACGTCAGACGCGGCATTCTTCAAAGCTAAATGAAAATTGAAAATTGGTTTGCTTTCATAACGTTCAAACAACGTTGATTTCAAGTTGATTTTCCGTTAGTTTTGAAAGGATGACGCATCTGACGTTGGTTTAACGTTAATTCGATGAGCAAAACAATGTCAGATCAACGTTGTTTCGATGTCATATTTCCACGTTGATTCAATGTCAGTTTGCTATCTGGGAAGTTAGCCATTTCTTCATCCAGTCAGCATTTTTAGTTGGAATTCTGTGAAACATGGAGATGCGCGCAATTGGATCCAAGCACGCAAATCAATCCACAAATGCACGTGACAGATACTACAGCCTAGTAGTTGGCAAACAGCTGCTACAGAAATAATTTAAATACTTTTTAAAGCTGTCCTGTTAACCAAATGGTTTTCTTAATAGGCTATATATTTGATTACGTTGAAGAATAAAAAAGAGGTTTGGTTTTACTCTATATTAATATGTATGTATATGATATTTATAGTGACAAATGTTTCGACTTCAGTTGTCTAGCAAATCAGAAAACTAAATGAATCCAGTCCTTAGAAAACTAAATGAATCCTGAATCAGCTCAAAAGCCGGTTAGCGTCCTCTGGAGGAAGACACCATATCGCATCCTTGTAATGTGGACAGATCATAGACGGGACAGGCTTGTGGACAGATAGGCTTGTGTTCATTTGTGAATCAAGACCACGGAACAAGAACAACAGTCTCAAGAGTCACATGATTCGCTGTAAATGAAATTACAGGTACAGATAAAGCATTTGTGTATTGTGAACAAAGCAATGTGAGTAAGATCAATAATGCATAATTGCTGTGTGTGAGGATATCTCGCGTGCATTCGTGGATTGCTGTGTGTGTGTGCGTGTGTGTGTGTGTGTGCGTGTGTGGATCTCGGGTGCGTGGATCGCTGTGTGTCTGTGTATCTCTTGCGTGCATCTGTGGATTGCTATGCTTGGCGGCAGTAGGCCTATAAGGGATTTAAAACCATTTCTTACCTCTATTTAAAGTGCACCAAACATGGCCTTGCGTTCTGTGTTTCTGATGAATCTCCGAACATGAGAGATTCAAACGAGTTACGGAAGCAACTGAGGAAGAGGCGCGCGCAGGCGTAGTATATCAACGATTCACGAAATATTAAAATAATTAATCATTAGTTTATATCTTATACACTGCCAATTATTTTTTGTCCCATATCAAACACCGTATCTTTTGTCTAATTTACATTTTTTTCTCACGTTTTTAAGTATAATATTTATTATAGTCCACCACCACAGCCCCTCACCAGGGGGGGGCTGATGCTATGACGAGGGAGGCTGCAGCCCCCGCAGCACCCCCCTTCCCGCGCCTATGTTTAACACCATCTCGTCAGCTGATCTGCTGCAGCTTATCTGCTCCAACTGAGCTGCATTAGCTGGGTCTGTCCTCACTGGTCAATGGCCAAAGCTCAAACAAGGGGCCCTATCAGCTTGCTCATACATACTTGCTGCTCGCTTCTGCTGCCCGCCACCTCCCCAGCTCCTCCTTATGTCATGTTGCTGCTCTGTTCACAGGGGATATTTTAGTTCTCACAGTCCTAAACTGTGTGATCGTTCCCTAATGCTGCTACTGCTGTCCTGACTCCCTGCTATTTCATGGTGCTCATGAAAGGTCAGAGGACTCCCTAAACAGAGCCATACCGCAAATTTTTTGTTTAAATAATATTTTTGTGATAAAAAGACAAAAAAAGATAAAAAGTGATTTTCTTAAAGGTTTGACTAATCCACTATCACATGAAATGATCAGAAATATGGTATGACCAAAAAGACACCCATCTCAGAGAATCACCAACATGCATTTTCAATGGAGGGACAGTAAACTCTCGGACTAAATCTAAAATATCTTAAACTCATCCGAAGACCATGAACATAGGCCTAGCATATATGAAGAGTTCAGATGCAAAAGCCTCTAAATGCCATTTGAAATTTTCTTCTTTAATGATGATTTTTGTCAAACTTGCATATTTAAGTTCAGTAATTTCACTTAAATAACAATTAATAGGTAATTATCATTGCCATTTAAGTGAAATTACTGAACTTAAATATACAAGCTTGATAAAAATGATCATTCTAGAAGAAAATTTCAAATGGCACTTAGAGGCTTTTGCATCTGAACTCTTCATATATAGACTATATATATATATATATATATATATATATTTATTTTTTTTTTTTTTTTTTTTTACACAACCACTTTTGAAATTATGATTGCATTATACAGATGTAAAGTCATTCTGTTTGATACTAATTGTTCCTTAGTGTAAAATGGAAATGCATAGCAATTTTATATTTGGCAAAAAAACTATATGGTTTAGAACTAGACAAATCTCTCTGCATTAATAGCCTAAATATAAAATTTAGCTACAGTAGTCCATGTTTGTTTGGGATTTGAACCCATGTCATCTTATTGATTGAGAAATGCCCACTGAGAAATGCCCAAACGTTTGTTTCGCCAGTGTTCGTTCAAATGAGCCAGAAAACGTTTTGTCACACTATTGTGAGTGTAGGCCTACTTTACATGAATGAAAGTAGACCTTATGAAATGAAAGTAGTAGCTGTTATGAGAAAAATAAATTCAAGATAACTCAGCATTTGTCGAACTCTAATTCACTGCCAGAATAAAACCTGATTTTCTTGGCGTGGTGTGTCAAAATACTTACTTATAAACTTCAATATTTCGTTAAAAACCACCTCAAAACTTAGTGTCACTTAGTGACATTTTAAAAAGCCGTGAATCACTGGCCACTGGAACCAGGATCGTAAATGAAACACACTGCATGTTATCTCTCAATAGCCTACAGGAGCAGAAGCACTGGTTCAGATTTTATTGTTTGTTTATATATATATATATATATATATATATATATATATATATGAGATATTTAGGATATAGAGCATCACAGTTCCGCCCACAGCCGGTGCCGGAAGTAAAAATTCAATACAATTTCAGATATAAGCCATTAAAAAGGAACCATACATGGTAGACTTAAAACCAGCTACGGCTGCACTAAGTGATTGTATATGCTCATATAAACGCCAAAAGATCATGGGGCACTAACCTTGTTTTAAGATAAATTCCTTTTATTCACGATGTACTGGATAAGTACTTCATTACCCACAATCCTGAACAATCCCACAATCCCACAGTGATGCATTTGATTGGTGGAAGTCGTGTCACGTGTCTGAAACTCCGCGAAGGTACGTGGAGACTGAAGATCGCGTAATGACGTAGGGCTAAGTTTATTGGTCGCACCTGTCTAATTGAAGAGAACTGGCACTGCTGGTTACTTCCGGTTTCTGGACTGGCTGCAGTAACAAGTCTCTGTCCATGCGGGGGCGCTCGCGGTCGAGTGCAGAATGAATGGGAGTCAATGGGGTTTCACCCCCAGAAATCCACTTTTTCAGGATGTAATTTTTTGTCAAGTAATTTGAAAGTTGCATTCAAAAGGGAGGGCTAAGAAAATACACTCAGCTGAAAATTGCATTTTTAAAGGAACACTCCGACTTTTTGGGACTTTAGACTATTCACCTTACCCCCCAGAGTTAGATAAGTCCATACATACCTTTTTCATCTCCGTGCGTGCTATAAGTCTGTTTGACGCACCCACCGCTAGCCTAGCTTAGCACAAAGACTCGATGTGACTGGTTGCAGCTTTCATACGGATCCAAATGATCCAAATGAGTGGCAAAATAACGCAAACGTTTTCCTATTTACATGTTGTGATTTGTATAGTCACATAATGTACAAATAACAAAGTCAAATGAGACACAGACATCTTTTAACCGTATAAAACCTGGGAACTATTCTCTGAAGGCGAAGCACTGCTACTTTGACGGCGTAATAACCGCATCACCGGAGACACGCCGTGGTGAGGAGCGGAGAGTTCGCTCGGTGTTTGGGTAATAGAGTCAGCAATTTATAAATAGTAAAAGCGTAGTTTAGAGTCATGGGTTTTCGCTCTATTGTAAATAGCTGCGACTGTAAACAGGGGAGGTAACCATGTATCACAGAATTCCAACTAAAAACGCTGACTGGACGAAGAAATGGCTTACTTACTCTGGATATTTATCCAAACACACCTATCAAGGGAAGGGACATTATGTTTGCTCGGTACATTTCAATGGACGACTATTTTGAAAAAATGGAATTTGCCACACGGACCATAATGTGCTGAAGGATACGGCCATCCCATCGATAGCACAGACAGGACAAGTGGATCACCTGCGGCTGAGGTAAGTGTTCCGTTATGTTTTTAGATGACCTACTGTAACAGTGCCTTTAGCCAGATCTAATGTAACGTTAGTGACACTATGATATGATTAGGGTATGAATATGTTTTTATCTTGATGCGGTGCGGTCGCGCTTGGAAAAAAAAACGAGCGCGTACACCGCGTTGAACTTGCACCCTGCGCGCGGCGCGCCTAGTAGCCTAAATTTGAAATAACCTTGGAAATAACGAACTTGAGCGTGCAAAAGGGTACGATAGGCTGTGAGTTCATTGTGCAAAAACAATTTGTGCTATTACTTTTACCTTAATCTATCCTATAGTAATGCTCTATCCTATAGTAATGCAATACTGTATATTAGGCTACTGTTGAATACATTTGGTTCAGCTAATAAATTGCATTTAAAATATATTGATTCCTGTAATAATAATTATTTATTCATGTGATATTTATAAATCTGGGTGCGTTTTTGGTTGGAAATCAATGAAACATGGTACTGTATTACCTGGTCTCCCGTGTTTATTGTCACAGCTCATACAATAAAGCAAACACCCATGATAAACTATGCTTTTCTATCTAACGTTAGTAATTGCTGACTCTTTATTCCAACGCTGAACGAAAAGCGAACTCTCTGCTCCTCGTCACGGTGCGTCTCAGGTGATTGTTATCACTCTGCCCAAGTAGCAGTGCTTCCCCTTCAGAAAATATAGTATTTATACGGTCAAAAGATATCTGTGTCTCATATGGCCTTGATATTTGCACACACTGTGACTATACAAACCACAACATGTAAATAGGAAAACGTTTGCGTTATTTTGTCACTCATTTGGATTAGTATGAAAGCTGCAACCATTCACATCCAGTCTTTGTGCTAAGCTAGGCTAGCGGTGGGTGCGTCAAACAGACTTATAGCACGCACGGAGATGAAAAGGGTATGTATGGACTTATCTAACTCTGGGGGGTAAGGTGAATAGGCTAAAGTCCCAAAAAGTCGGAGTGTTCCTTTAAGTTCACTTTATCTGTTCTAAAAATCCGTTCAAAAATGTGATGACGTCACACAATAGCAGAATGCTAGCATGTTCCGGCCAACAATGGCCTAACCTGTAAGACATCTAAAGGACATAAGTACTCATTCATTCGACTTTTGGCCTATAATCTATATTGAACTTGCGGAATCAACAATAAAATCTATGTTGATTTAACGAATAGCAGGTGAAAGAGACACATTTAGCCGTTTAGCCCCATAGACTCCCATTCATTCTGCGCTCGCCCGTGACCTCCAGTGGAATTCTAATGGAACAGCAACCAAGATGATACACAATAGGGCTAATAGGAAGTGCTAAGCCTCTCCGTTGGACGGGCTCCGGTCGCACCTCAGAGATGACCCCGCGCCATTGGATGTACAGTAGCCGCAACACAGCCAATGAGCGAGCCAGATGCTCAATGTTTTAGCATGTGCATAAGCTTCAGTAAATCGAGGAAAAGGAGTTTTCCAGCACATTCACTATATAAATTCACTGGAGGAAAAAGTTAACGCGGCCGTCGTCAGCTTTGGAAGTCACTCAAAAGGCTCTTACACGGTGGCTTTCAGACGACTTCAGTGAGTCGCGGTGGTTTATGCGAGGAGTAGTTCCTTTGCTCGGAAATGAAAATATGTACACAGGCTTGTACCTTTGACCTTTTTTTGGATTTTCTCTTCATTTTTTCACTCGAAATGATATGTTGTATGCTTATGAGTTCAGCCATAGCTGGTTATCCTC